ACAAAACATTTATATATATCATAACTCCATAACATTAAGCAAACTATATATTTTTTTGTTTTCGTCACTGGTCCAATATTTTTATTTTCATAGACTAAATTATGAGATTAATTTATAAATGAAAAATATGCAAAACAAATAAGCAACTTATTATTATTATTATAACACTATGCGGCGCTGAGTTTGTGTATACAAAAATGTAATGCCTCGATAAAGGTTGGCGTTCAGCCAGCCGAAATATTGGCAAAATAAATATTTTATAAAATCCAATATATGCCTTTTATTATCTAATAAACAACTATATACATCAATTCCCCCTTCTTAGGCTTGGCCCCTCATTTATTTATTTACTTTTTATATCTCTGTGGACATCTGCGCTCCCTCTGAGGGTACCTGGGGGTTGTAACACTTTTCTCCTCTGAGATTGGAGTTGGCACACATTCAGCATCACTCATATTAGTGGGATGTGATTTACCAGGCAACATTTTTTTAATGTAGTTTAGATGGACTTTTTTTCACTGTCACCTTGTTTTATTAAATAAACATTCCTTCCTAGTATTTTAATTATCTTTCCTGTATACCAAGAGGGATGATTATTAGTAATCCACCTAAATTTCACAGTCTCATCCACTTTAAATTTACTGTTAACATATTGACCATTGACTTTGGAGACTTTTACTTCTTCTTTTGACAACACAGAAAGTCTTGATCTGATCTTTCTTCCAAGAAATAGTTCCGCAGGTGATGTCCCTTTTCTAATATTTACATCTGTCCTTATAAAGAACAAAGCCCTGGACAGAGCCAAATCTAGTTCCACCTGCTCGTTTTCATATAATAGCTTTTTTTAGCAATTTCTTTACCTCTCTTACAGAGACTTCTGCCTGTCCATTCGATTTTGGGTGATATGGGGGAGATGTCACATGGGATATGCCATTCTTAGACAAAAAATCACCAAAGTCACTACTAAAGAAAGGAGGACCATTATCAGAAACCACTACTTGTGGAAATCCGTAACGAGCAATACAATTTCTCATAAAATTTATACAAAAATATGCACTGGTAGATGGTACTTCAGAAACTTCAACCCATGAAGAGAATGAATCTACTGCTAGTAAAAACAGTCTATTTTTGAAATTGAAATAGTCCATGTGAACCCTCCTCCATGGTCCTGCGTATTTAGGCCAACTCTCAGTCCTTTGATGAGGCAAACTTTCATTAGAAAGACAAGTTCTACAATTTTTTTGTAATTATTTCTATTGAAGAGTCCATGCCGGGCCACCAAATAGATGAACGAGCCATCATTTTCATTTTATTAGTCCCTGCATGGCTCTCATGTAATAATTGAAGTACCTTTTCATGTAGACTTTTTGGAATAACCATTTTATTCTCAAGAAAAATACATTTTTGGAGAATGGTGAAGTCATCAATCCTTTTTAAATAAGGAATGAGATCATCATTGGGACTTGAGGGTAACTCCCCTGTCTCAATAATTTTATACAATTTGATTAAAGTTCTGTCTAATTGTGTTTCATGAGCCACAAGAACATGGTCAATGATGGAAGTATTTAAGAGTAAAATTTCACCACTCCCATCATTATATTCCAAACTATTCTTTTGAAACTCTGGAAATCTAGAAAGGAAATCTGGAATGATATTATCTTTTCCTTTTTTATACTTAATTTCAAAATTAAAATTTGAAAGAGTTAGAGCCCATCTATGAAGTCTATTTGCAATGAGTGGAGGCAAATTTGTTTTATCTCCAAAAATAGTTATTAAGGGCTTGTGATCAGTATAAATGGTGAATTTCCTACCAAAAAGGTAATTTTTAAATTTATTTACTGCAAAAACAATTGCAAGTCCTTCTCTTTCAACTTGAGAATATTTTCTTTCATGAACATTTAAAGTTCTGGAAATGAAACACATAGGCCTTTCCTCCCCATCCTTCAAATGTGAAAGGGTTGCTCCTATTCCCACCTGACTTGCATCACAAGAAAGAATCAAAGGCAAATTTAGGGAATAATACGATAAACATGTGGTCTCATCTAATGCATTTTTACAGGAATTGAAAGATCTATCTGTCTCAACATTCCAAGACCATTTCACATTATTTTTTAATAGGTTGTATAAAGGATATGCTAAATCTGAAAGATTTGGCAAAAATTTACTATAAAATGACAAAAATCCAAGGAAGCTTTTTAATTCAGTTATATTCTTAGGAACTGGACAATTCTTTATGCAAGCTAGCTTGTCTTTCAAGGGGTATATACCAAATCCATTAATTTTATGTCCAAGATATTCAATCTCATTTTTAACAAACAAGCACTTATTTTTGTTTATCGTAAAATTATTTTCTTTAAGAATATTAAGTGTTCTCTTAAGAATATCTAAATGGTTTTCCAAATCCTCTGATGCAATAAGAATATCATCAAAATAAATGTAAACATCATTGATTCCCGAGAAGAAGGATTCCATTGTCTTCTGAAATATTTCAGAAGCAGTCTTTATACCAAAAGCCAAACGATTATATTTATATAAACCTTTGTGAGTGGAGACAACCAAATACTTTTTTGAAATAGCATCCATCTCAATTTGATGGTAAGCCTTTGACAAATCTAATTTAGTAAATAATTTCTTTCCTTGAAAATTACTTAAGACTGAATCAATGTTAGGGATAGGATATTTAACATCCTCTAAGTAAGGATTTAAACTCTTTTTAAAATCAGCGCAAAGTCTAATCTGGCCATCTGGTTTTGCAACACAAACAAGTGGTGAAGCACAATCACTTCTATCTATATAGGAGACAAAATATTTAAATCAACCAATTTATCAATTTCATCTTCCACCAGTTGTTTTAAGGCAAAAGGAACTTGTCTGAATTTGTAAAATTTTGGGATAAAGTCAGCCTTCACATCAAGATGGCATTTGATACCTTTAATAGGGCCAGATTTGTATTTAAAAATGGATTTATAATCATTTATAAGTGACTCTACATTAAAAGAGTCCAGTTTATGTAAAGAATTGAAAGAAATATAAAAAAAAACTAAGGAAATCTCTTCCCAAAAGAAATTTAGAGAAATTTAAATCAGTTATGAGTATCTCAATCACCCTAGAAACATTTCTAAATTTTATATCAAATTTAGCCTTGCCTAAAATAGGTATTTTAGAACCACTATAGCCTGTTAAGATGGTATCACATTTGTTTAACTCAATATTTTTAAAATATTTAAAGTAAACACATTTTGTTAAAGTAGTAATGGCTGCACCAGTATCAATTTCAGCCAAAAGTTCAATCTCATTCACATACACAGTTTCAGTCAAAGGAGGATGTAAATTTATATTATACAATGACAAACTATTTTGAGAATTTGAAGGATTATTAACATTAGGGTGCGACTTAAATTTATTAAAATTCTTTTTAGAATTTATGGGCAAATTATGGTCAGACCTGTCTTTTTTATAACATATTGTGGAAATATGACCTAATTTACCACAAACTCTACAAGTAGCAGATTTAAAGAAACAATTATAATGTAGATGGTTAGTCTTATCACAGTGTTTACAGGTATTATTAATGGCGTGAAGATACTGTGGGGACTGATGGGCATTTTCGGATCCCTTGATGTTGTGTAGGTCATTATCCGCTGATTCCGCAGACAGAGCTATGTCCACTGCACCATCAAAAGTTAAGTTTTCTTCTTGTAGGAGTTTCTTTTGGGTAGATGAATCAATGATGCCAGCAACAAATCTGTCACGTAAGGATTCTTGTAAAAAATCTCCAAAAGAACACTTTTGAGCTTGGTCTTTTAGGCGTATCATATATTTAGAAATAGTTTCTCCAGACTTTTGATCCATTTTCTGAAATATGAATCTTTCATATATTATATTAGTTTTTGGATTAAAATGTTTTAATAAGATCGTACATAATTTATCAAAAGGAACTTGAGCAACTTCCTCTGGAAAAACTAAATTTCGCAAGATACTAAAATATTTAGGGCCTATACTTGAAATAAGAAATGGCGTCTTAAAATCTTCCTTTGTTTTAGAAATTAACATAAATTGTTTTAAGCGATATATATAATTTTCCACATTTTCTAAATTCTCATCAAATTTCTCAAACGTACCTGAAGACATATTTGAAGTATAATTTCTTCTCCCAAATCAATTTCTTTGTTCTTTACAAAATTTGCTTTTCCTCGTTGCCAGTTGTTTTGTGCGCTTGTCATTAATATTTAAAACACATTTAAATTTTATATATTTTATTCAATTAAGATAAAAATTACATAAACATCACATTTAATTATATATCATCACAAAACATTTATATATATCATAACTCCATAACATTAAGCCAACTATATATTTTTTTGTTTTCGTCACTGGTCCAATATTTTTATTTTCATAGACTAAATTATGAGATTAATTTATAAATGAAAAATATGCAAAACAAATAAACAACTATATACATCATAGACATGTGGTGCACTTACAGTAAAAACAGTTGCCAACTTCTACCCACCATGATTATCATGTCCTGTGCCAAGTGTACTAGGGATAAGCATAAAATAAAATAAAATGTTCTACCAATAGTCACATCTCTTTCTTCTCATTTCTAACAGAAATAAATAATGAGAAAGGCATCTCCTGATCATGTAAACTAAAAGTTTCCTCCATCTGGCAGAATAAATATCAACTGATCATTGATTTTTAAGTATTCTAGAATAGGCCGTGATAAGGCACAATTTGGATTATAGATTATAAACACAAGGTAATAAGACCAAATAAATAAAGTGTGTGACGTTTCGGTAACAGCATTGTTACCATATTCAATATGCAACTATTTAAAACATTGTAAAATGACATTGGAAAATATCCCGCATGAGTTTCTTTTAAATGAAAAATCAAAATTTATTTTTAAGGAGAAATAACGACTATTTCTAACCTTAGAGATGAGGTATGAAAGGATGAATTGTGAAGAGTAATGATAAACGGAAAAATAAAAGTGTCCAGGGATTGGGAATCGAACCCACAGTGTTCCGCTTACTGGGCAGATGCCATGTCCACTAGGCAACATGTTGTGGCAAAATTTCTCATTCAGTACTTTTATCTAAAGATGGTAACAATGCTTTTACCGAAATGTCACATATTATTTATTTATTTGGATTTGGTCTTATTACCTTGTGTTTTTATCCTTTATGGAGAGGTGTCCTCTCACCAGACAGTTGTTACATAGTAAAAATGGTAATTTTAGCAATGAAAACTGTCCTTTGTAGAGAGGTGTTCTTTGGCCGGAATGTCCTCTCATGGAGGTTCTACTGTATTTTGTTTCAAAATCATACCATTGAAGATTTATCTAAAATTAGCATTCAGTACTTTTGTCTGAAGATGGTAACAATGCTGTTATCGAAAGATCACACACTATTTATTTATTTGGTCTTATTACCTTGTGTTTAGAATAGGCCAAATACTCTTTTTTTGAATAAAAATCAATAATTAGTTGCTAGTTCTTTCAACAGATGGCGTAAGCCATCAGCAACTTTTAGTTGCACGATTAGAAGATGCCTTTTTCCTAATTTATACTTGTTGTGGTTCAAAAGGGTTCGAATGTTCAAAAACTAGTCCAATTCACTCTGTCCTCTTCTATTTAGAGTAAATTTAACTCTTTTTGCTTACAATGTAGTGTGTGAATTCAGAATTGGCCCAAATACCCGTATTTTATTAATCAAGGAAAATTAATTTCATTTTTTACTTTGATGTGAAAATTCGAAACTATTTTAGACGCTTAAGATTCTTTTTGAAATTAAACAATTTCTACTGTACTTTTCATTTCAAAAAGATTCTTACGCATTTAAAATAGTTTCGAATTTTCATAACAGATGGCAGGCTAGTGCATCATAATATAAATTTTTTACTTTATTTTTCATAAAAATAATTTTTTTGTTGTAAAAAAGATTATTTTTTAGCAAACACACGACAGCGATTAAACACCCTACAACTAAAGAGTGAGCTGGATGCGATTGAAATTTTAATTCAAACATTCTCAAATTAAGAAAGAACTTACAGGATGAAACTTTGGAAAATATTTCCGAAGATCATTTGTTGGTTGGCGATTCTCATTTACAATTCTCAACCTGCAACCCCAAAACACATTATTGACTCATCCATTGATGAGATATACTCTTCCCCGGCAGACACCATCAACAAGCTTTACAAGCTTGATACCCTAAATGATTGAGTGGAGGTAAGAAAGAAGAAGATTATGTTTCTATGCAATTCTCAACCTGCAACCCCAAGACACATTAATGACTGTATTGACTCATCCATTGATGAGATATACTCTTCCCCGGCAGACACCATCAACAAGCTTTACAAGCTTGATACCCTAAATGATTGAGTGGAGGTAAGAAAGAAGAAGATTATGTTTCTATGCAATTCTCAACCTGCAACCCCAAAACACATTATTGACTGTATTGACTCATCCATTGATGAGATATACTCTTCCCCGGCAGACACCATCAACAAGCTTTACAAGCTTGATACCCTAAATGATTGAGTGGAGGTAAGAAAGAAGAAGATTATGTTTCTATGCAATTCTCAACCTGCAACCCCAAAACACATTATTGACTGTATTGACTCATCCATTGATGAGATATACTCTTCCCCGGCAGACACCATCAACAAGCTTTACAAGCTTGATACCCTAAATGATTGAGTGGAGGTAAGAAAGAAGAAGATTATGTTTCTATGCAATTCTCAACCTGCAACCCCAAAACACATTATTGACTGTATTGACTCATCCATTGATGAGATATACTCTTCCCCGGCAGACACCATCAACAAGCTTTACAAGCTTGATACCCTAAATGATTGAGTGGAGGTAAGAAAGAAGAAGATTATGTTTCTATGCAATTCTCAACCTGCAACCCCAAAACACATTATTGACTGTATTGACTCATCCATTGATGAGATATACTCTTCCCCGGCAGACACCATCAACAAGCTTTACAAGCTTGATACCCTAAATGATTGAGTGGAGGTAAGAAAGAAGAAGATTATGTTTCTATGCAATTCTCAACCTGCAACCCCAAAACACATTATTGACTGTATTGACTCATCCATTGATGAGCTCTACTCTTCCCTGGCAGACACCATCAACAAGCTTTAAAAGCTTGATGCCCAAATATGATTGAGTGGAGATAAGAAAGAAGAAGAAGATTATGTTTCTATGGAATTCTAAACCCGCAACCCCAAAACATATTATTGACTGTATTGACTCATCCATTGATGAGCTCTACTCTTCCCCGGCAGACACCATCAACAAGCTTTACAAGCTTGATACCCTAATATGATTGAGTGGAGATAAGAAAGAAGAAGATTATGTTTCTATGCAATTCTCAACCTGCAACCCCAAAACACATTATTGACTGTATTGACTCATCCATTGATGAGCTCTACTCTTCCCCGGCAGACACCATCAACAAGGTTTACAAGCTTGATACCCTAATATGATTGAGTGGAGATAAGAAAGAAGAAGAAAAAGCATCCAACCCCAAAACACATTATTGACTGTATTGACTCATCCATTGATGAAATCTACTCTTCCCCGGCAGACACCATCAAAAAGCTTTACAAGCTTGATACCCTGATATGATTGAGTGGAGATAAGAAAGAAGAAGAAAAAGCATCCAACCCCAAAACACATTATTGACTGTATTGACTCATCCATTGATGAGGTCTACTCTTCCCCGGCAGACACCATTAACAAGCTCTACAAGCTTGATACCCTAATATGATTGAGTGGAGATAAGAAAGAAGAAGATTTGTTGGTTGGAAGTTGATTCAGAGAAAACACAGCCACATCAACCAATGATTTATTTAACTCCTGATGTTCAGTGACCTGCTGTCACTCTCCTTACAGTAATGATTATTTGAATGATGAATGGGAAAATATGTTACCTCAGCCATCAACAACAGTCCCAAATACAGTTAAACCTGTCTATAGCGCCTCCCTCTCTATATCACCCGATTTTAAATACGTAGTGCGATGCGATTTACATTAAAAGTGACCTCTCTATAGCACCCTATTTTGGTAAATTCCAAGAGGGGGCGCTATAGACAGGTTTTTTTTTTGCTTATCCCTAGTACACGTGGTACAGACCATGATAATCATGGTGGGTAGTTAGCGACTGCTTTTACTGTAAGTGTACCACATGTCTACACATGTGAAAAGCAGTTAGACTCTGCACTTGCATATGTGCCAGAGCCCCGTTTGGTTACTTGCACTCGCTGGTGGGGTTGGACTTTTGCAAGACAGGTTTAACTGTAGTAGGATTGGTTTTTTGACCCTGACTTTCTGGCCAAATGAAGCTATGTCAGTTAGAGGCAGCTTTCTTTATGGTGGACATAACATGCTAAAACACCCAAGTTCTATGCTTCAATGGCAAATCTAGACCAGTCAACTCTCACTTGTGAAGGCCATGCCAGTGCCTGGAAAACTTCAGATCTCAGAAAACAGATTTTAAAATGGTTCTGCCAATCTTCCAAGGATAGTGTATTGGAAGGGATTCCTATGGGTGACCAGAAGCCCTCTTACATTCCTTTCATAAATTCAACAACAACTTTTCAGAAGTACTTGTAAAAGTCCTATGACTCAGTTGTCCTTCTCAATCCATACAACCATCCTATCAGTTTTGCAGGTGCCAAATTTGGTCAAACTGGTGGAATTGGCAGATGACATTTATGGAGCCACAAGACGCCAGAGTGGATCAAACAAGCCTGGACCACATCAAATGTCAATCCTGGTTCAAACACTTCAAATGCAAGTCAATGAGCTAAGGAGAACTTACAAGAGAAGGAATGACATCATCTTGAAGAAGGAATAAAAATTTATATAATATATTATCTTCTAGTTTCTTGTAAAGTTGCCTGTTGAAGAACGTCAAAGTCCGAAAGCTTGCCGATTATATAGCATAAATGAAAGAAAACTCGTCGCCGTTAACTTTTATTCCTTCTTTAAGGAGAACTTAAAGACAACCAATTATGTACAGGCACAATGCCAATACTAGGTCAGCAACCAGCAATAACACAACAAAGAATCCTCAAATTTGCTGGTACCATCTAAAATTGGTATGATGCAAGCCAGGCGATGTACCCAACCCTCTTCTTCTTCTTCTTTCTTATCTCCACTCAATCACACTAAGGTATCAAGCCTGTAAAGCTTGAGATTTTTGATGGTGTCTGCCGGGGAAGAGTAGAGCTCATCAATGGATAAGTCAATACAGCACCCAACCCAGTGACTTCAAAGTCCAGGGAAACACATATGACTATTTTCAGTAGGAGCCACTGACAGCGCAGGCTTTTTGTCACTGACTGTTGAAGTATCAGTCATTTCCCCATTAGTCAAAAACTGACTTAGCTAACAAATAAACCCAGAAAAAAATAAAAAATAAAACACACTAAAATTGGTTATGTTGTACTAATTGGTTCAGATCAAAAGAGAAGAGTGACCTGGCCGGATTTTTCGTAGAAGTTTGCAGATTGTCTTTTTATAAAGTCGTTCATGTTTTCTATCTTGAGATCCTTTCTAATGATGCTGCTCCTGACAAAGCATGGGACCCCTATTATTTTCTTGATTATCTGATTTTCAAGCTTTGAATTTTTTCAATGTAGTTCTATTTGCAGTTATGAATACTGTGGTTTGCGCCATAGGTAAGAATTGGTCTTATAATTGATATGTATATTGGGGGTTTGCTTGCAGTGTAGAGATAGTTTTTGCTTTTATTTCCTAATAGTTGCATAGCTAGCCTGTGTTGTGCTGACTTTGTGAGATTGATTTGGTTTTGGACGTATTTCAGGTGCCTATACAAAATCAGTTGTATTGCTTTTTGTTGTTGTTTCTTATCCCCTTGTGCAAAGATTACTTTTTTTTTTGTTTATCCCTAGTACACATGGTACCGGCCATGATAATCATGGTGGGTAGAAGAAGGCGACTGCTTTTACTGTAAGCGCACCACATGTCTACACACATGAAAAGCAGTTCGACTTTGCACTTACAATTGTGCCAGAGCCCCGTTACTTGCACT